TTGGGTACTACCTTACTTACTCCTCTGGGACCAGGGCGGCACTGGTTGTAGCGTGTGACACTTCAAGATACAGGTAGAGCCTCTCATTTTGCTTTGGAGCAGAAAGGATCAGTGGACTTCGCATGTACTCCTTTAGCCTGGTCAGGGCTTGCCTCTGTTCTTTCCCTAAGCTTGTTGCCCGTGACCTCTTATTGTATCGAAGAATGGCTTGCAACAGTCTGATAGCCTTGAGATGAATCTGCTAAGTGCATCTATTCTTCGTGTAAGAGCCTGAACTTCTTTAAGGGTCCTTGGCTCCTCATTTCGTACCAAGGCTTCAGCCTGAGCCGAACTCGATCCCTCGGCTATTGACAATGTGACCCAGGAATTGTCCAAAGCCCACTCCGAACGAGCATTTTGCTGGGTTGAGTCTCATGCCATGCCTCTGCAGCACCTCAAACACATATTGCAGGTTTGCAAGGTGATCATCCTTCTTCATACTCTTTACGACCATATCGTCAATATATGCCTCCATAGATCTTCCCATTTGGCCTCCGAAAATTTTGCTAACTGGCCTCTGGTAGTTGGGTCCTGCATTCTTCTGTCACAAAAGATGTTTTCTCCTCGTCATCTGGATGCATTGGGATCTGGTTGTAGCCCGAATAGGCGTCCAGAAAGGTTAAATGCTTATAGCTAGTGGTGGAGTCTTACCATCTGATCAATCTTTGGCAAAAGGAAACTGTCTTTAGGACAAGCCTTGTTTAAGTTGGTGAAATCGATACAAACTCTCCACTTCCCTTTCTTCATCTGAACAACTACCACATTGGAGAGCCAAGTGGGGTACTGAACCTCTCTTATGAAACCCGCTTCTAGCAACCTGTCTATCTCATCGGCTATAATTTGGTTCTGCTCTGGCGCAAACCTCCTTTGCTTTTGCCTAACGGGTTTGAAGTTTGGGTCAACGTTGAGTGAGTGATATGATAGGGAAGGACTGACTCCTGGCATGTCTAAATGACTCCAAGCAAACACGTCTGCGTTCATGGTCAAGAGTTCGACCAACAGTCATTTTTCCTCCATGGTAAGCTTTGACCCTATCCTGGTTGTTCTCTCAGGCATCAGAGGATTAATCTGCACCTCCTCCAACGGTTCTTTGGTAAGGACCATTGGCTCTGCCTCCTCCCCAACTCCCTTGGGTGGAGGTCCCTATAACTGCTATTTCGGACTCGTAGGACGGGCGATCGTCTTGCCCTTTCCATTGGCCTTAAGGGTCATAACATAGTACTCTTTCGCGGCCACCTGGTTACCATGAATGTCAATCATCTCATTCCTATCCGGACTCAAACACCTCATGACTTGGTGCAAGGTGGATGAGACTCCTTGGACTTGGTGGATCCATCCCCTCCCCCATCAAGAGGTTGTAAGAAGGGTGTACATCCACTATGACAAAGCTCTCTCTTAAGTTCCTCTTCGCAGCACAGACCGGCAGCTCGACCACCCTAATGGGTTCTACTCACTTTCCATCAAACCCTTGCAAGGGATTCCCGTGGGCCTGACCTGCTTTGGGTCTATTATCAACTGCTCAAACGCCACCTTCGTTATGATGTTTGCGCTACTACCTGGGTCAACAAGGACTCTCTTGACCAAACAGTTTGATACCATTAAGCTGATCACTAGTGGGTCTTTATGTGGGGTTTGGACTTTTAGAAGGTCGGCGCTGTCAAATTTGATTAGAGCTATGTCGCCCTCCTGGTGGACCGTGTTGACACTACCGATCCTCCTCATCATGTGGGCTTGATGGAGGCGTGTCCGCCGCAATTCTTCTGACTCGTCCTCTGCCTCTGGTCTTCCGTGGATAGCATTTATGACTTGGACCAGCTGAGCATCCTGGTGGTTCGGCCTCTGGTTCCTCTTTACTTGGTCAACCGGACGGTTCTGCTCGTTCGCCTGGCCTTAGATATAAGTGGCAAACTCTTCTCTCGCAATTAGCATCTCAACCTGCCTCCTCAGGTTTCTGTAATTGTTTGTCAGGTGTCCAAAGTCGCTATGGAATGCGCAGCGCTTGGATTATTCTCTTTGCTCGAGTGGTTGTCTGATCTGTTTGGGTGGACGAAACATCATCTTATTCTCCTGGTATAAACGTGCCAAGGTGACTTTGAGGGGGGTGACCATTTCTTCTTCTCATGGCCTCTTCTTTGCCCTCCAAGGTGCTGCTTGTGGTGGTGCTGCTGAGGGTTTCTGAGTTGTCATTTTGGCCTTGGATCTGTTTTCCACTGTGACCATCATCGTCTTCCTTGCGTTGACAGCCTCATCCTCTTCCAATCATACATAGCCTGATGCCCTAGTATTCAGTTCATCCATAGTCTTTGGTGCTTGCACAACTAAGGATGTGTGAAATGGAGTTCCTCGAATCATGGCAAGCTTGAACGCTTGCACCGCTGATGAAGGGTGGCATTCGATTACCATACTCTTCTTAAGATTGAAACGGGTAAGGAAGGCCTGAAGGCATTCGCCCTTTTATTGCCGCATGGTGAATAGGCATGATATGTCTTTGTCCATTCGCCTATTGTCGAAATACTGGCCTATGAATAGGTCACAGAGGGCTTGAAAGTTCCCAACCGACCCTCTTGGCAGGTGCTTGAACCAGTTGAGTGCCGTTCCGGTGAGGCTTGTCGGAAAAACTTTGCACATCAAGGCATCATCTCCTGTATCTAGAGCCATCATGCTCGGTCGGATCTTTCGTCCCGTCGAACAAAGTAAAGCCCGGTGTCGAAAACTTCCTTGGCTTTAGTGCATTCAAAATCTCATCCGTGAACGGTGAGTCGGTAGTCGGGGCTGACTTCCGAAGGGCCTCGCTGTCCACTGGTGTTGCTTTCTGCTCGATTTGTTGCTTCCCGGTGTTCCTCTGGTCCTGGGTGCTCATCGTTGACTAACGCATAGCGTTGAACCGTCTATTTGCGGTTGACTCCTTCTGCCATGAAGGAACAGTCTCGTTGCGCTCCATCTCGTCTTCCTGCTTGGGTCTTCTGTGATACGGGTCCATATGATCTGATTCTTCTCTTTCTACTTGACGGTTGATGCTTGGCGGTGGTTGGGGATCGGCGAAACCTCTTGTTGTTCCAACCAGGCCCTGAGCTCTGCGTTCTCTCGCCTTAGGGTTTCAATCATGTTCATCAACTTATCGTGCCTTGCCTGCTGCTCGTCCTCCTACTGTCAGGAGCCTTCTCCTCCGATCATTGTTCCCGAACGGAGTTGTGTCATCTATTACTGAAAATCAATCGGATCTACTCTTCTTTCCCACGGACGGCGCCAGATGAAGGTGCAAGAAATTTCTCTCTATATTAGGAAAGTAATCTATTACACTTCACACAATCTCCCCCTTTCCATCTCTCTAACTTCTATTTATAGAAGTGTACATTTGCCCTAAAACCTCTCCTAAAACTCTCAAACCTGGGCCAATCTTCAATGGGTCTTTTCGTTGGGTCGTAGTGAATGAAGGCCCCTTTTGTAATGTTGAAGAGGTTGGGTTGGAGGTGGTTCAAATGACCTTTGGGCCTAGTGGACCGGGCCATAAATGGCTCAATTCATTTTCAGTACCCTCAAGTGGTGTTTAGGTATAATTAGGAACCTACATCCTATTGTATAAGGAAACTGTTGGAGAATATTTTAGGAGTGATTTTAGCTTATGGTATAATATTGATTGGAGCGATTTATGGGATTCATTTTAGGAATCCTCCGTCATTGTATTTTCCATAATTATCACTTGTATTCTTTCACTGTAAATAGAGGTGCTCATTGTAAACAATCTTAAGAGAGAATATAATAAGAGCGATGTAGCCCTTTGTGCCGTGGATGTATGCTATAGTGGCTGAACCACATTTATCCTTGTGGTGTTCATTTTCTATCTCTCTTTTCAATTTTAACATGGTATTAGAGCAGGTTTATCATACCCTACTATATACTCTACTCGTCTTGGATCTTCGGATCAACTCATCTCGGATTTCCGGATCAACTTGCCTCAGGAACAACTCGTCTTGGATTTTTAGATCAACTCTTCTCGGACTCTTGACAACTCCGTATTTTGTTTAAAGTTGGACACTTGAGTTAAAATCTTCGTGTTCCAACTTGGGGGGCAGGGGGGGAATATTACAAAGATTTATGGGTTTGATTTTAGATATCCTCCATCAATGTATTTTTCATATTTATCACTTGTATTCTTTCATCACCTATGAATAGAGGTGTTCATTGTAAACAATCTTAAGAAAGAATATAATAAGAGTGATGTAGCTCTTTAGGCTTTTTGTGCCGTGGATGTAGGCCCTAGTGGCTTAACCACGTTATATTGTTGTGCTGTTCATTTTCTATTTCTCTCCAGTTTTAACAAAAACCAAGTGATAGTAATTAGGAAATCTTATTTAGGTAAACTAATGTTCCTTTATGTATAAATATTAATTTAAGTAACAGATTTGATAGCATAATATATAGTTCACATCAACCTCCACATACCGTAAGGTGAGATCACATATTCACCAATTGGATCCAAGGAAAACTATTAAATTTAGTTTGAGTAAAATTCAGTTGCTCCTTATAATTATACATATTATCACGAAACAGAGAATCTCAATGTGGAAGGGGTTGAGTTCTAACCATAACTCCTACCATGACTGGTTCTGTGATTCGAAAATTGCTGATATAGAGGGAAAAATGCAAAAAACCCCTTGAGCTTTCTCTAATTTGCAGATAAACCCCTGAAATTTTTTTGGCGAATAACCCCCTATACTACATGAAAATGTGGAAATTACCTCTTGCCGTTTATTTTCTGATAGAAAATGGATGATAAAGAAGTCATTTGCACATCACTTGACATGTTAATGTCATATTTTGAGATTTTGATCAATATATCCTTTTCTATGGACTATATTACTTTTGGACAAACATACATGGGGGTTTCATCATTATTACGGAATATAATCTGTGTATAATTTATCCATTGAAATCTTAATTTGCAACTCTACTTGCACCAGTATTGGAGCTTTTCACTGGATTGATCGTGCTTCAACGTCTTTACCACTAACTGGCAAAAGCAGGTGATATTTCACTAGATCATTCTGAATTATGTTAGTGGCATTTTCTTGTTTTTCCTCTTTTATTATTCCTCACCTGACAGTAATGACAGTTATTTTCTTCATATTTTCAAATCTTTTACTGGATATGTGGTTCAGAGTTGCTGTTGAAATACATAATATTGATCATCACATCCTCTGTATTTTGTAGATTCTGCTACTTTATAGGTAGATTATTTTATTGTTATTTTATCACTTTTCTATCCAACGGATGGGATTACAATTAAAGGAGAAAAATCCAAGTAACTATGCTCATTGCGGATTGTGTATTGAATTGGAAACCCTAGATGTGATCCCTAGCTTTTCTTTCTCTTCTGATTTTTATTTGGTTTTGGCACATAATGACGTATTAATTTACGGCCAGACCTTATTAACCCTTGCTTCTTTAAGACCCTATTTGACGAGCCCTCACCCTTCCCCCTTTTAATTAATCAACCCTAGCTACACAAAAAGCACACTACCAGTTCTTTACTGTTAAAGGTATTATTCACAGCCCCAATAACTAATTTATCTTTTATATTAATGACTTCTTAATTAAACTATTTAATCACAAAAGTATCTATTGTGAAAATAATGTACTTAATAAATAAATATATTATATCTATTCACCAAAACTTACCGGCTGGGTTTCTCGTGATCAAAATAATCAAGTCAATAATACATGACCGAGCATAAATGCCACCTAGCATAAATGTCATGTTGAGAATTCTTTTACAAACTTCCACATATTAATTAATAATTACCCAAAGTACCCAGTATTTGGAACTAATGGTCCTTTGAATAAATCAAAGTAATTACTTAATTAATATGTAAGTCTATTATTCTCTCATACTTCAAAGTAATTAAGCTATAACTTAAAGGGTAATGCTTGGATCCTGCCCTATGAGGACAAAACTTGTCCTGCAATCTGACGTGGCCCTATCAAAATTTGACACCTGTCATAATCTGATATAACATTAAAAAAATGAGCAATTTGGATCAACCCGGATACCCGGATAGAATCCAATTAGAAACCCATTTTCTCTCTCTCTCTCTCTCTCTCTCGCTCTCTCTCTCTCTCTCTCTCTCTCTTCTTGGCTTCCTGGTCCTCTTCTTCCTTTCTTTTTCTCAGCAGTCCCTTGAGCCTTTTGAGCCATTTTCACCTTTGTCGCCGCCGTTCCCTAACATATTTAATCATATCCAAAATCATTGACCCCCATTCACTGATCAAAAATCCAATCATTTTTTTTAACAGTTCGCATATGTGTTTTAAATCCACAAATTTTCGGAAAAAAACTTAATTTCCTTTTTCTTTTTGATAATTAACAACACATGTACTTGCAATCTTGCATCCCAACAGGGACTTGAGCCCTGCACTATAATGAAAGAGTGCCTAGATTGCCAATGGAAATTCTCAGTTAAAACCCATAAACAACTTCAAAACAAATGTATAGCATACAGAAGAAAATAATCAGATTCTATGACTTACAATGACAGAACTAGGTGGCGACGAGAAGAAACCCAGAGGGCCCAAAGCGCGCCATGTGAGAGTGTCAAGCAAGAAGGCGATCCCAATGCCGGAGAGAGACAACCCAGATACGAGAAGCGGAGAACCCACAACGAAGATCGCGAGATTGCAGAGGAGAGCAGATTGCCAAGAGGGAGGCGAAGATTGGGCCAAATCCATTGCTCTCTGAACGAACCCTAGAGCAGAGGTGGTTGCTTGAGCTTTGACCACTATTTTTGGAGTTCTGAAAGTTGGAGTTGGATTGAGATTTAGGGTTTCTGAAAGGGAAGCCAAGAAGAGAGAAAGAGAGAGAAAAACATGGGTTTCTAATTGGATTCTATCGGGTACCCGGGTTGATCCAAATTGCTCATTTTTTTAATGTTATATCATATTATGACAGGTGTCAAATTTTGATAGGGCCACGTCAGATTGTAGGACAAAACTTGTCCTCATAGGGTAGGATCCAAGCATTGCCCTAACTTAAATAAGGTGAAATCATAAAGACGGCTATTTTAATTCCAATAACTTATTCTTGATCTAGTTCAATGTGTTATATCAGAATAAAGTGACCAACTCATCTTCAAGGGGTGTGAACTAACACTTTTATGGCAAACTAATATCTATGATTCATATATCCTATGCATTTATCTCCATCGTTGATGCACATAAATCATTTAGTATTTGTCAAAGGAGCCTTGACTCAACTCTAGAGTCAAATCAATGCAATCATTCGCTATATGTATATATATATGTAAGCATGCGAACCATAAAATCAGACATTCATAAATAAATAAAATATATCGAATACATTCAGTTATTGGCTTGAAGGGCATAACCAATCCCATCAAAACGCACATTCTCCTACCAAACCTCTATAGTGTAGTTTGTACCATAGTCAACCCTTCACACTAACTAAAGAGTAAGTGCCTTTTGCATTAGGTAATAGAAAGATCATCAGTGAGTGACACCTTAACTGAAGTAGATGATTGGTTTGTAGGAAGATGAGGATACTAGAAGTAATATGGCCGGATATGATCTGCGGACATGGCATCGGGTCAAACAATTGAATTCAGCCCATACAGGAGCACCACAGAATGGGCCGAGCTCGGAGGATCCATCGAAGAAGGCCAAGCCCATTGGAAAGAAGGCCCAAAGCTGATAGTCCAGCAGCACTTGTAATTGCCTATAAATAGGCAGTGAAGAGAGTAAAAGAGGGGAGATTATTGTGAAATGTACTGAAATTCTGTCAAAATGGAGGGAGAGATTTTCTTGCATTTACAATTGGCGCCGTCTGTGGGAATCACGAAGAAGATCGATTCGAGCTTGATTGATATCATGTTGATTCAAGCAAATTCGTGAAAACAAAGCTTGAATTCTGGAAGTTGAATCCAGATCAGAGAGATTGCAGTTCCTCCATTAAAACACCTTGAATTGTTATAATTTTGATTTGTTCAATCGCAGCTGGATCCGGTGAGTTCAAAGCTAGAAAAGCTCAGAGTTAGCAAAATGTGACCACGGTTCGGTGAAGTTGAGTCCAGATCTGACGGAATTTGCACCGGTGATGCTTGGATCTGATTAGGAATTTGTGATTCATGCCTTTACTTCGCTCCGGAATCATGATAGGAGGTGAGAGCTCCAATCCGATGGAGAATGTCCAGTAGATGAAGCTAGATGAGTTGATGAATACGATCGAAGCTCTCCGAAAAGAGAATGCGGAGCTAAGAGCCGGAATGCAGCGTCAAGAAGCTTCGGCGCTCCGGCGACCGCTTCCGGCAGGTGACGGAATTGTACATCCCGATCTTACACAACCACGGTGAGGAGGTAGGAAACAATCAGACGGATCTTCACCATGAAGAGGTCAGGCAGACGATTTGCCGCCAAATCTCCATCGTGTCGATGAGCGAGAAGGCTCGATTAACCTGGATCCACGGCGTGAACAAATCAGGTGGAATGAGGCTAGGACTTCCGATTCGTATCCAGAAAGATTCGACCGAGAAGGATCTATGGAGTTTGGACACCAAAAGGCTGCACCGATCTGGCAGGAGGAGTACATCGAGGAAAGGTCATCTGATCCGCCTTACCGGCCTTCAGTGGCTACGTTTGATTGCCGAAGCTCGGAAAGGAGATTCACTGATCCGAGATTTGCAGCAGCAAGCCAACGAGAGAATGAGGCACTACGTTCAGCAGCTCGGACGGTTGACTCGCCGTTTACTGATGGAATTCTGAATGTTCCAAATCCGAGGAAATTCTCTATGCCGGTTTTCATTCTGTTTGACGGAACGACTGATCCGGTTGATCATGTGTATCATATCCAGTTGAAAATGGCTTTGAACACCGAGAACGATTCTTTAATGTGCAAGTGCTTTCCAACCAGCTTGGCTGGACCAGCGCTCAACTGGTTCAAAAACTTGCCGAGGGGTTCGATTGATAGTTTCTGAAGCCTTTGTGATCGGTTCATAAGTCAGTATTATGGAAATAAACGCCCGGCAAAAGATGTCTCCAGTTTGTTCACAATGAGGCAGCATGAGGATGAGCGTCTCCAAGCCTTTCTTACCAGGTTCAACTTAACCAAGAGCATGGTGATCGAATGCCATCCCTCTACAGCGGTTCAAGCATTTAAGTTGGCTATGACTCGTGGCACTCCATTTCACACAAGCTTGGTGGTGAATACACCGAGGACCATGGATGAACTTAATGAAAGAGCTAATGGTTTTGTACGCTTAGAAGAAGAAGAAGCAGCTAATGCTCGGAAGACATCCATAATAACAACAGGAGAGAAAACCAAAGCAAAAATTAGGCAAAAGCAGGCTCAGCCACAGCGTCAAACCTCTTGGAAAGCTGAAAAGAGGCCCAGAGAGGAAGAGCTGGTTACTCCGCTGAAAGTCACACTGGCAAGGCTGTACCAAGAAAATAAAAATAAGTTCCGACCTCCTTTACCTATCAGACAGCCCCTCGACCAGAGGGACCAGTCTAAGCATTGTGCTTTCCATTCTGACTTTGGCCATCAGATTAATGCATGCAGGAACTTAAGGAGGCATGTAGAGATGCTGATAGCCAGAGGGGAGTTCGCAAGTTATATCCAAGGCACGGCAGTGGAACAGAACCGACCAATGGAGCAAGTAAAAAGGAATCAGAAGCCGAGCTCCCACAACTAGCAACCAGTTCGCATAATCAATGCGATTCATGGTCAGCCCGAACTGGCTGAAGAGTCGGAAGAACTGCTTAGACCGCGCCTCCGCCAGGCACAGATGAAGAGGACGATAGGCAGTGTAAACACTCTGCATCAGCATAAAGCATCAACGCAAATCAAGTTTGACAGAACCGACCTGTTACGCGTTCAGATTCCTCATGAAGACCCGTTAGTCGTCAGTTTGACAGTTGCCGAATGTTTGGTACTCAGAGTTCTGATTGATCCTGGAAGTAGTGCCGAACGTCATGCCGAGGGACACATTTGATCGACTCGAGATCAAGCCATACC